GAAGCTGCAGCCAAGAGGGCAAGTGGAAGGGGCTGGTCTCGCTGCAGCTAGCAAGGTTTCCTTTTAAAGAAGGAAGGAGAGAGTGGTATGGTGTGTGGCGTGCCTGCGGAGTTCACTGACTTTTCTAACGTGACGAGCTCTTTTTTACGGCAGTCACATAGCAAAGACCATGAATATGTGCGTCGTGAGAAATAATCTCCACCATAACTGGAAGACACCGGGGGAAGGGGAAGAGCTTAATCCCTACGCAATCTCTTTAGGCTGCCAATACTTCACAGCTATTATGTGCTTAAGAGGGTCTATAATGGGGCGCCTCAAACCGATCTTAAACACCCGGGCGGTCCGGCCGGTCACTGACCGGTTGAAAAACTCAACCCTCTCGCCTCAAACCAGCCTCAAACGTCTGGGCTGACCACCACCCCTCATATCCAGCCTAAATGTAGGGCGGATATGTTGAGGCCCGAGAACGTCCGCCACATCGGACTGACAGCCGGGTCACACACGAAATCGCCTGAAAACCCAACGGCCCGTCGGGCGTCTTCTCCGGTGGGAGTGTGAACGCCTCGTGGCGTCGCTCCAACTCGCCGCCCGATGCCAAAGTCTGGATGTTGAAGCCGGACGGCGTCCCCCTGCCCTAGCCACATCCTCTTCCTCCCTCTCCGCGTCGCTAGCCTGAGCTCATTCATATCTTTTTGTCTCCCTATTCCCTCGTCGTCCGCCTCCGCCATTTCCCAGCGGAAGAAGATGACTTACAATATGCTAACGCCAGATCGCCGGTTCTTCAGGAGGAGATCCGGGTGAGGTGCGCCGCCCGGGTCGCAGCTGGCCTGCCTCCGGACTCGCCGGAGCCGGAGGAGAAGGACATGGATAAGGAAGAGGAGGGGAGCAGCAGTCGAAGCCCATGGAGGTGGCGGATCCCGAGGAAGAGGAGCCGGTGCCGGTTGCAGGCTTCACCATGAAAGACGCCATGGCGGAGTTCGACGGAGACCGACGTGCTTTTCGACAAGGTGGAAGTGGAGATGGAGGCCACCGTAGAGCCGGAGTTGCATCTGCTGGCCACGTACCCGGAGCCCGGAACGGAGATAGTGGACATCTCCAACGACGAGTAGTCTAGCTTAGTTGATCTACGACTACGTAGATGTTTACTTTGCATGGTTTGTATGGTCTTAGGGACTGAAGTATGAAGTATTCATATACAGAGATGAAATTTTAAGGGATGCCCGATCATTGCCCGCGGACGAACCTAGGCACGTCCGTGGGCATTTAAGAGGCCAGATTTGTAGATGCTCTAACCATGTATGGGCAAACTCTCCTGGCCATATTAAGGAAGGAAGTGATGTTCGTCTCTGGTTTTCTTAACTTGATCAAAATTTTGCCGTTAATAATTGGGAAAAACATTGCTCTTTTATTAGATAACTAAAATCTCAAGCTTTTATCGAGTCTTTGCAACCACAAGTCTTTGCAACCACATCAATAGATGATACAATCATAAGATTTCAACTCTCGGCCTACGCATCTAGGAGGCACACAAGAAAAATCACACATGGAAACAATATCGACGGGAGATGATATGTATAGGTGTAAATATCTCATAGAAGAGAACTTTCCTCTTATCAAAGACAACCATGCATGTTCCTGAAAAAATCATAATTATCAACAAATGGTAGCTGTCTCAAACTGTGGATTAGAGCCCACAATGTTTTGCATAATCTCCGCGATCAACGGCCAAACATATTGGCAACACCACAAAGGGTTTTAATGAGCAACCACCATGAACTTTGTCTTTTCATATAGAAGGGATTTTTGATAGTTAATAAAGAAAATTGGCTGAATAATAAAAGCCAAGTGCGCCACATAGACTGAGCAAAATGACATTTGAAAAATGAATAGACTGGAGTCGCAAACAATATGAATTTTTTTCTTTATAGCTAGAGAAACAAAGGAAGCTACTGGTAGCTGCTTATTTTGTCTTTAGGAAGTCGGCCATATGCATCAACACAACTAACATTCAAGAAAGGTACTTGTCATACATATAGATCATCTTACTTTGACATTTGTAGCGAATCCCCCAAGGGTGCATGCATGATGCAAGGTTATTGAGTCGTCCTTTTTCAGAAGGAGGTTGCCTCTCCATCAATGTGATGCATACATCTATATTATTAAAGTACAAGTAACATCATTCGGCATTCGGTACAAAGAGAACACATCAAGGACATATAAGCCACAATCGGAGTCTAACAGGAGTACATGCATGGGCACCAGGGAAGGGAATGACTTAACCCCTACGCGATCTTTATAAAAGATGTGTCTGCCACTACTTGGCAACTACGCTTAACCATGCACGCCCAAACTCCCCTGGCCATATGAGGGGAATGTTGTTTATGTCAGCTTCTTTACTTAACTTGATCAAAGTTTTGAAGTGAGAATCATATATTCAAAATTGCGCAAACATTGCTCTTTTAAATAACTCGAGCTTTTATTGTTTCTTTGCATTTAGGATGCACACAACCACTTGTACATCAAGACAATATCAACGGGACATGGCCGATGAAAAGCCACTCGGAAAAGAGAAGTAGAAGAGAAACGTGATAAGGACCATTCCAGCTGATCACACGCCACTGCCAACAACCCCCAGTGATCCTCTAGTGTTTGAAGTCCTCGACCCAGTACGAAGATGCGGAGCCAATGCGTTCATAAGCAAATATTATGTGGCCGAGAAGCAAGCTTCGCCCTATGAAAGAAAAAAGTGTTTCTGCAAAATTAAAAAATTACCAACACAAGGCATATATCATCCAATTGAAAAACAGCCACATCATCCAATCGCAAGACATATGGGCGACACTACAAGGGGGCATAAACTCCACCCGGACAGCGAAATGACATTTGAAAAATGCACATGATCAGTCGCAAAGTAACAATGTGATTTTTTTTCTGTCATGTATAGGGAAGCAAAGCAAACTATCTACATGTGACACAACTAACATGACAGGAAAAAATGAACATATCCATCGCAGCCTAATTTGTCTTCCGAAGTCGGTCAAGTGCATCAACACAACTAACATTCAAGAAAGGTACTTATCACACATATAGATCATCTTACTTTGACATATCTAGCTAAGGGTGGGTGCATGCAAGACGATGATGTAGGCTCAAGTGCTTGTTGTTTTTTCTACGTGTGTACGCACATCTAGACCGGAGAGACACAACACAAGTGATCGTTCTCACGAGCTAGGTAAGGTTATCCAGACCGCGGCAGTCACAACTAACCATCCTAACTCGGAGAGAGGTGCATGCACATGGCCGCTAGCGCCATGGGCATCTGCTCTAACTTTGTTCGGGCTACCGGCAGCACGATCCAAGTCGTGGCCGTCGCTCTCGCGGCTTCCGTTATCGAGGGCGAGGACCACGGCCTTCACGCCTCCCCATCTCGGCGCAAAGCCGGCCAGCGGGCCGCAGGCGCGCGGATTGCCATCTCTTCCTCAACAGGGAGCTTTGCTTCTGCCGTGAGGCAGCTCCGTTTCGGGAGCCCCTGCCCCGGATCGGAAACGCCGGGACCAACCATTTATACCCCCTTCAAGAGCGCGACGGCGACCCGCGCCCGCGCGCGCTTGATCGAATCCATCCATCGGCACCATGCATGGCTCTGCGTGCCCGGGTGGTGGCCATTCGGGCGATGCCACTGCGCGAAGATGAGGCAAAAGAGGAAACAAGTGGTTAAGCACCACCCACCGGCTACGTGCAGAGAGAGTAATTGTGTTTGGAACACTCTGGTGGTGAAGGGAAAGGAACTGTTTTCGTTGAAAAGTACACTTCTGATCTCAGGATTAACACTAAAATCGAAACAAATGAAAACAAATTTTAAAAAATATTGTGGCAAACATTGACAAAAGTTTTGTGCGCCTGTAAATTTCAACGTGAAATGATATTTGCAGAAGGCGTGGCGAAAAAACAAAATAGTCACTCCGAAGTGCTTTTGAAAGTGACACTTTTTTTAGCATTGATTTTTGTTTTTTTGGTCACGGCTTCTACAAATGTTATTTCACAATGAAACTTTGCAAGCATTGAAAACTTTTGTTAATATTTATCACAAAAAAATTAGCTTTTTTATTATTTTATGATTTTACTGTTCATCCGGGTTCATATGGGCTCGAGCTAAGAAACTCCATGTCATGTTATCGTGATCTTTACTAGTGGTAATTCGCGTCTAAGCTTGGGCTCATCTGCAACCGATAACCAGTAAATCCAAAAAATTCTGGATGTTTACACATTCGTGGACTTATGGGGGAAAATCAGGTCCAAACAATGATTTTTTTTCAATGTTTTTTTCATGTTTTTTTTTTTTTTTGCAACGACCTCCTCAAATGTGCAACACCAACTTCTGCATGCACATGGCGCATTCAAGCATCTTAGATACCGGAAAAAATTAGATTGTTTTGAATATTTCTATTTTATTTGAACTTGCTTTGCAGATGCACCTAGACACCGAATCGCTGCACTCACTTCACTAGCTGTTGCTACTTTATTTGTTTTTCTCCTGGTGGCAGCATGCAAGCAATGATCGATGGACCACACACGTTGTGGCCTTTTGTATAGAAGTATGCAGGCCCCCTTTGCATTTACCCTGCCAGCCCGTTGTTTATCTTGAGAAACGATGTTACAAAGTCGGCCTCAAAGAGACCCTGGCTCAAAAGGAGCATTGGGCTTGTTTCAGGTAAGAAGAAAGATATCCGTAATGATTCACCGAATCATTGCTTTCAAGCCATGGCCATGCGCAATATGTTGTCCGCATCAGTACATGTATATACTGGCTTGTTCATACAGGGGTCATGGGCATCACACATTTTGAGAAGACAACATCAAAGCTCAACATGAGCTGAACAATGGAAAGCGGTTAATTTCTGTCACATGCCTTAACAGTTTTTCGTTTTTCACTGGCATGCTCATGATATAGCAGCAAAAGCATAACATTTAGAAAATTAGTCCATATGGCAACCCTGCTTCAGATCAAACTAAATTTAAAACACCACGAATCATCTATGTTCCTTTTCAGTGAGCAAAAAATAACAGGTTTGAGCCATTTCCATTAAGCGGTACTGCTCTATCCCGGGGGCAGAGAAACAGATCACTAGATTAGGTATGATCATCATTATATCATTGAAAGTACAGTAATCTTGAGCGGATGCCTTAGGCTAATCCAGTAAGACCCTAAAAGTAAGTAAAAGGCTAATCCAGTAAGACCCTAAAAGTAAGTAAAAGTGGTATGGCACCAGAAAGCATCGAGTAGAAGAAAAGGTTGCATACAGAACTTAAACAGAACCCAGAGCCCGCTATACGCAATACAGCCAGGAAGCATGCTACAGTAGAAGAAATCACTGGCTGGGTTATGCCTTTTACTAGAGAGGTGTATATATATCAGAACCTGTTTTGCAACAAAAGAATGTTTTCGAAAACCTTGACACTTTGTAGAGCTATTTTCATGGATCGTGAATGTCAAGATATTCACCATATATAAAACTAAGGTACAGCAGACCTTCCTCGGTAGGCTGTCTGAGTTTAAATACAACAAATTCTTTACATTAACACAAAGATGATGTGATGATCTGCCAGCAAAACCTGTCAAGAACGAGAATTTGTATTAAAAAAGAGTAAAAAAAGATGTCTTGTGCTGCAGATTTTCTGTTACTAAATTCAAGACATATTGGTTATGTAAGCTGTTTAGATTCAAACGCAAGACAAGTTCACACATTTTCCACTAAATTGTGTGGCATCATGTACCATTATTTAGGATAATCAAACTGGTTATGCCTTTACATAATTGTGTGGCATCATGTACCGTAAATATCCTCATTGATTTTATTGGTCGCATGCATGCAAGTACACGAGAAGGAATGTTGCTTGGAATCAAAAGAGGTTGTCAATGAATCACAAAATTATTTGGTTTGAACATGTAATATTTGCATCTGCCAAAACTTTTGGCGCGTAATATGATAATACGAGGCTACAAGCAATGTCTAACTTTTCAATATTTAACTAATGTCTTGTATAGTCATCATAAGAACTTTGTGTAGTTAAACTACTAAAATGATTGTGTACATAGGTACCCCAAGGCCCAAACACCATATATCGTCATTAGGCAAGCACCTGTTTTGGCCTTTTTATCTTCAACTAGATTTTTGCTGGTCTAAAACTGTTCAACCAATAACTAATTAAAACTAACGAAAAAACTGAAGTCCAGCATTAAGATTAAGATCAGGGAAACTTATGTGAGCACATTAGGCAATGAAACATCACAGGACTAAGTACATGAAAAAAACACATGTAGATACGAAATCAAAGTGTCAAAGGAAGTACTACAATATACAGAGCGTTACATCAATCATATATGCTGCCGTAGTGATAGATATACCTTGTCAGCCAAGATACTTTTGCTGTACAGAGAAGATTATCAATCTCTAAGGCCAAGCTCGACCTCAATGTCATCATCCTCTTCAAATAACTTCAGCAGCCGTGCATGTTGCTCCTCTCTTTTCTTCTTCTGCCAATACTTGAAAAGGAAGAATGACAACAGACCGGCTGCACCAATTCCTAGCAGGACAAACAAAACTGTTTGGCCAGTGTGACCTTTTGACTCATCTTTAGATGCATCATCAGCTAGTCCTGCAAACATCGTAGATACATTTCAGTGATCTAAAATCTTGAGTGTGTACTTGGGCATATGGATAACTTAAGTGGTTTATTCAATCTATGTGTGCCCCAAGCTTGGAACAAACGTTAGGACCTTGAAAATAGAACAACAATGCAATACAGCAGCATCATTTTCTCAACAGAAAAAAAAAGCAACCATCATCGGAGGAACCCTGCCCACGTTTTTTCTTTTTTTTGGTTAAGAAGGAAATGAGAGGCACAGGAAACAGATCACACAAAATCTAACCATAGCGGCAAAATTCCGCACCCACCGGGAGTTAAACCCAGACCGATGTGGACACACTACAGCGCTTCCAACACTGGGCTACCACCCAGTTCTCAACAGCAACGTTTTCTCACTTTTACGGCTATTGCTTCAAGATCAATGAATCTTGCGCTATAGCATCCAACTGAACTGCATTTCTGCTATCCTGTGCTAGCATACATAACCATCACTATGTATGAAACTTGCACAAAACCATTTGCAACTGCTACCTGCTGGATACCAGATACATTTTCTAGTTGATTCCCAGTGGCAAGCAGTACAGGCAAGATCTTACTAGCTGGCAAGCTACAAATCCTATGATAACCTGGCTGACTTTGGCTGATTTCCATACAAACTATCATAAGTGACTGAGTTACTGAATCATCGTGTTGTTTAAATGGAAACCCTACAAAGTACATTAAAAGAACAAACTGAGATTGTTCAGACATGATGCTAATTGATCACGACTTATGCTATGATGTTGGTTCAGATGTTTCTAGACAACCTGGGATAAATAAACCCAGCCCCGACAATAATTTGCAGTAACTGTATAGCTAGCACAATTCTATTTTATCTTTCTTGGGAAATTTAAAGATCAAGCTAGAAAAAACTCGGTAAATCCGCTCAGCAAAGGAACAAAGTGAACGTAGCAAGAGATGGGGGGCTACATTACTAACAACTCTATTACACTATTCGGTTCTGCAGCAAGTTGCATCCTACTTAGGCTGCATCACCAAAAGTATGCAATGGTTATGATTTAGAGCAAGAAGTTAGTTTTTCTTTCCAATTTGAAGCTACTATAAAGTAATGGTCAGAAGTATGACCGCATGAGACCGCTACATTTTGGCACAACGCTTTACCATAATTTGGGCACACTAAAGTAAAATAATTGAGTCGGAGCTGGCCATAACCACCCATATGACACATGGTTCTATATTAAACTTCCTCTTTATCAAGGGCTATGCTGCTCTAGACTAAAAAACAGTTAATAGATATGAAATGGCTTGGCTTTTATCATGAAGAGAAATGATTGTAAAAGCAATAAAAACAATGCAATACTAAAGCCAGTGATGTGGTTCAGAGACAATAATTCTGTAACAGTCCTAGCAAAACGCGACAAATAATAAAGTGGTGTGCCCAACATATGAATCTTGCTTTTGCAGTTTCCTTTCTATGCAGTAGTTAGCCATTTTGCTAGTTCTTGATCGTCACCTCGATAAGGGGCGGAAATAGCAGAGAAATGCTAATATTTATCAGAGGCTCCAAGTGTGATGCATCAATCTGGAACTAACAGCTCTAATTTTCGGCACGCGTTTTCCGCAAATAGTTTCGACATCGATAGCAAGGAGCTGACTCTAGCGCATGCACCTATTTGTCCCATGTAATTTCTTATTTCGACTTCCAAGAGAAACGCTACAGCAATCCAATCGACCTGAGGCGAAAGGCCAAAAGTATTGGACTGAAATCAGGATCCTACGGTTAAACTGGTGAATTTATTCATGAAAATAAGTGAAACTGCCACGGGGATATCGCGAGCTCTTCGGCCTAAATACAAATCTTCATAATTAAATAGACTCGCAAACCATAATAATTCTGCACTTGACGATAATAACGGAATCCCGAATCCCCCAATCAGCGGGCCGGCGACTCTTCGCCGATCCCAAGCGACGCCCCTCAGCCAGATCTCCAACACCCCTCGCAGATCCCGGCGGGCTAGAGCAGATCGAGCGGGGCCGGAGGGAGCACGCACCTGTGGCGAACTGGGCGCAGATCGCGGCGGCGGCCAGGAGGAAAGCAGCGGCCGGGCTGGATCTGCTGCCGCATGCGCCGAGCGGCCGTCTCATCTCCGCCTCTCTTCCCGCGCCTGCGTCTGCCTGGCGACCGCGACGACGAAGCTGCCGACACCTCCTCCTCCGCCAAGAGCTCGAGCCGTGTTGGTGGTGGATCGGAGGTGAGGTCGGAGGCTTGGGTGCCGTTCGCCTTCGGTCCGGTGTTTTTGCTTTATTATTATTTGTCTGGTGGGTGGGTGTCGACCGGACGCGCTGTTCGTTCTTGCCCTCGAAGGCTCCGTTGCACGCACAGGCACAGCTGGGCGGTCGTTCTCGGCGTCTCCGTGCCGCTGCCAGTGGGCCCCCAGTGGGGGTCTGCCAGCGGGTTGTAATGAAAGGGTGTTTAGTTTGGGAACGTATCTTCTCAAAGAAAAATCTTCTGAAAAGAAGTTTGGGAACGTATCTAGCGAGCCATCGAGATAGCCATCCAAGAGGCCAAGATTCCCTAAAAAAAATCCAAGAGGCCAACAACACCTTAAAAGCATATGTTTTTTTTAAAAGATCCAGCTCGGCTGGCGTTTCATTCATTAAGCAGAGAGAAGGCGGGAAAACAAGTGTTGATCAAGTGATCATGGGGTGAGGGGGAGGTTACAGGCCTGCGTACAGGCAGCAGTCCTAAACTAGCGCTATTTCTCACGGTACATTCCTGAACGGGTGCTCCATGCATCTCGCTCCAGCGATCCTCCATTGCTCCATGTCTCGCCCGCAAGCCTCAGTGATACTTCTCACGCATACAGTCTTTCCTCTGAATGTGCATGCATTGCGTGCAAGCCAAATGTGCCAGCAAACAAGGGCCAACAACGATTTTGTTCCCCGACGGAATCTTGGGGAGGCTTGGTCGATCATCCTTTTGACCTGATCAACAGTTGTTGTTCCTGAGCTCCAGCACGAATGTGCCAGGGCGCTGCATCCGCACCATGAGGCCACTTCGTCCCAGACTTGGACGGCGGTCGGGCACTCCCAAAAGAGGTGCGAGGAGGTCTCGAGGCTTCGGAAACATAACTGGCAGAAGTAGTTGTTGGGCCATCCGCGGCGTTACAATCTGTCGCAACACCATAACCTGTCCAGGTGCAGGAGCCAGAAGAAGATCTTGATCTTGCCTGGCGCCCAGATTTTCCAGACCGATCCTCTGAAATTCGTGGGCTCTGCAGCGGCTGAAGGTGGGAACTGGATGTCGTATGCTGATCGCGCCGAGTACTGGCCTGAGCTGCTGATCGTCCATCCGATCGTGTCTTCCACTCCGTCTTCCATTGTGATGTTGGTTGCACGGATTTCTCTAGCCATTTGCAACACCATGGGCATGATGCTCTCGTGGTCGCCGTGCCGCGGGTCTAGGACCCATCTGTCCTCGTGCAACGCGTCCCTGACCGAACGGTTTTTCCTGATGGAGCGCGCGAAGACTGCCGGAAAGGCCTGGCATAGAGGCCTAGCTCCTAGCCAGGTGGATTGCCAGAAGGAGGCCATGGTGCCGTTGCCGATGGTGACCGCGGTGCAGGCCGCGAACAGGGCCTGGTCAGTGGCGTCGCAAGGAGTGCCCGAGCCGACCCAGGGACGGTCCGGTCGCGTCCAGGAGTACCAGAGCCAGCGCAAGCGCAGCGCCCGAGCGAATTTGTCTAGGTCATGGATACCCAGCCCACCAATGCGCTCCGGCGAGGTGATCGCCGACCAGCGCACCTTGCATTTTCCACCAGAGATCTCCTCATCCTGCGCCCATAGGAAGCGCCGTCTTGCTTTGTCGACGTCCTTGAAGAATCGTTTCGGTGCTTGAAGGGCCGTGATGGCGAAGGTGGGCATGGCCGAGAGGACGCACCGCACCAGCACTCTTCTGCCAGCGATGTGCATGAGCCGACCTTTCCAACCGGCCAGCCGCGCTCGTATCCTGTCAAGGATGAACTGAAGGTGTACTAACCTAATTTTTCCCACAGTGATCGGTAGCCCTAGGTATGTAGTGGGCAGCGCTGCGACGACCCCCTGAAGCTAAGCAGAATCGCGCTGAGGTCTATGCTTTCACAAGCAATCGGGATGACTGAAGATTTTTCTAAATTCACTCGCAGTCCTGTAGCTTCACCGAAGAGGTGCAGGATGAGCATCAGCTCGTCTAGTTCTTGCTTGATTGGGTTGATGAAGATGACGGCGTCGTCGACGTAGAGGCTGGTGCACATGCGCGCGCCCATCCCCGGCACCGCGGTCAGGAGGCCTGCAGCGGTTGCAGCCTGAAGGAGCCGGTGCAGGGGGTCGATGCAGAGGATGAACAACAGCGGGGAGAGGGGGTCGCCTTGTCTCAACCCGCAGAGGTGCATGAACGCGCTGCCCGGGACGCCATTCAGGATGCAGGAGGACGATGACGTGGAGAGGAGCAGGGTTACCCAATCGCGCCAGCGCGCCGGAAAGCCCATTTTATCAAGCAGCTCGAGAAGAAATTCCCATGAGATATTGTCGAACGCCTTTGCAATGTCCAGCTTCAGCAACAGGGCCGGGGTTTTTAGGCGATGCAGAGATCGTACAGTGTTCTGAACGAATAAGAAGCTGTCATGGATGCACTTCGTCTTCTGGAAAGCTGACTGCGCTGGGGAAATGATCGTCCCAATGACCGACGCCAATCACATAGACAGTACTTTGGAGATCAGCTTGGCGATCGAATGGATGAGGCTGATCAGTTTGAAGTCGCGCATGCATGAAGCCCCGTCTTTCTTCGGCAGTAAAACGATCGTGGCAGAGATCAGGGCTGAGAAGTTGCCCCCCCAGGCTGTAGAAATGATCAAATACGGCCATGATATCATGTTTGGTTGTGCTCCAGCAGGTGCGAAAGAAAGTGCCCGAGAAACCAACCGACCCCGGCGCCTTGTCAGCGGGCGAGGCGATGACAGCAGCCCAAACCTCCTGCTCGGTGAAGGGATTATCCAGGCCGGCGTTGCTGACAGTGGGCAGGTCAATTCCATCCCAGTTTATTGCGCAGCCGCGGTCCCGCTTGGTGCCTAGTAGGTTAACAAAGTGATCATGGGCGACGGCTGCTTTATCAGCGTGCGAGGTTGCAGTGTGCGAATCAGTCTGTAGGGAGTGGATGAAGTTCTTCCTTCTTCTCGCGTTGATCTTGGCCTGGAAGAATGCAGTTTTGGCGTCTCCAGCCCGGAGCCAGGTGATTCTTGCAGCCTGCCTTTTGCACGCGCGCTCGATTGCTGCCAACCCCACGAGCCTCTGCTTGAGTTTCTTGCGCAAGTTGGATTCTGCCGTTGTGAGCTGGTGCTTTTCTTGTGCAACGTCAAGCCTGAGAATGATCTCTGCTGCCAAGTGGAACTAGACTTTTGCATCGCTGAACAATGACTTGGACCAAATCTTCAGATCATGGGCCGCTCGCTGCATCTTGATCTTCAGTCTGGCCAGGGGACATGTGCAGTCGACCGGCCGCAGCCAAGCCCGCTCGACCGTTTCCCGGAAGTGTGGGGACCGCGGCCAGAAAGACTCGAATCTGAATGTGGCCTTCCTGTTGGGCGCAGCCGCGTCTGCTAAAAGGAGAGGGCAGTGGTCGGAGCAAGCGGTTGACGCGGCCATGAGCATGTGCGAGGGGAAGAGATCATCCCATTCTGTGTTGCAAAACACCTTGTCAATGCTCACCATCGTCGGGTTAGTCCTCTCATTTGTCCAGGTGTAGCGCCTGTTCTTGCATTTTATCTCCTTCAGGCCTGCAGAATCGATTGCTCTCCTGAACTGCCCCATGATCCTCATGTTCAGATTTAGATTGCTCTTATCCCTGGCCTCGTAGATGATGTTGAAATCACCGTTTATAAGCCATGGTTGCCCTGCTAGAGGAGCTGTCTAAACCAGTTCAGCGAGAAAGGAATCCTTGAGGGCGTCGTCAACCGGGCCATACACCATCGTCAACCAGAAAGAGCAGTTTCTCTGAATGACTGGGACTCTGGCCGTGATGGAGAAGGCACCAACGACGTGCGTGACAAGGTCTAGCAACTGCTTATTCCACAAGATCGCTGCGCCACCACGGGCGCCCATGGCCGGCAGGACCGCACAGCCGTCCATGGTATTACCACCCAGCTCACGGACAATTTCAGCAGACTAGGCTTTGAGCTTTGTCTCTTGCAGGCAAAGGATACAAGTCCTGTGGGATTCAGCTAGTTCTTTGACAACAGCTCTTCTCGCTGGTGAGTTTAGTCCTCTGACATTCCAACTCATGATAGAAATGGGCGTGCTAATCATTGGGCACAAGTAGAAACTCCAGCAGCATTTGAATTTCATTGATGTAAAGCAAATACAGGTACACATCCAACCTATCACAGGCGCGCTAGAGACCACCAACAGGCCCCAAGAATCTCTGGCGCGAAGCGGGCCAACAAGTCCTGACACGGAGACTACAGACGGCTAACATTGATCCTAACTTGGAACGGCTTAAGGCCGATCGCTGCTGGCTAATGTTGAAACGATGATGATCTAACATAACTAAACAACTGTAGTTGCAGCTTCTCCGTCCGGGCCGGCCATGCCGCCGGCGATGCGAAGCGCCTCCGGGTCGAGGCGGGTGAGCTTGGCGATGATGGAGATGTCATCGTCAGAGAGGGGTTCGTCGAAATGGTTGATCAGCGCCTCGGCAACCTGAGCCGTCATGGCCTCCTTTGGCCCCAGCAAGCCCAGCTTCTTCACAAGCAGGAGCGCGGTGTGTTGTGCCACTGGCACCTTGGAGTTGGACGCAACCTGACGTGCACTCTGCCTGGTTGGGGTGGCACCGACTCGAGCTTTGGGGGGAGGGGGCGGAGGAGCGCCTGGCTGGAGCGGCGGGAAGGAGCAGAGCCGGGGCGTCGGTGAAGAGGGCGTGGCCTGGCCTTGGCGCGTCGGCACTGCTGTCAAGCTGGAGCTGAAGCACTTGTTGCGTCACCGCACCGACTTGGAGCCTGGTGGAGACGGCCGTTGGGGGGGCCTGGCAAGCCGCGGTGATGGAGACCGACGGGAACTCGAGGGGGCGGCAAGCGTGTCGGTGATGGCCTGATCGATCTCCTGGAGGTTGCTGT